TTAAAATGCCAAAAGTTGGGTCAAATCTGTCGTCAAAAATTAAAACCTGGATATAAAATTACCCAGAGTTGAAATTTGATGAGAAATCTGTCTTCTACGTTTCTTGTGAAAAATTAATCGGATGTGAAAGAAAATCTCAAATTGATTCTCATTGTCACACTGGTAAGAAACAATATTTTTATTTAAGAATTAGGCATCAGTTTTTAATTATTATTTTTTCGTTAGCTATTCACGAGAATTAATTAAAACTAAAAAAAACAACCGATACAACAGCAAATTACAGATTCTTTTGAAACATCAAGTAGCCAAAACCAATTTTATATTAATTTGTACTAGGCTTTTAGTAGGAGCAAATATACCATTTTTCAAACTGCAGTCCCTACCGTTTAAATCTTTTTTACAAAAATATACTAATAAAAGTATACCTAACGAGAGCACACTCAGGAAAAAGTATCTGCAAGTTTGTTTCGACTCGACTATGGTTAAAATTTGCCGAAAAATTGGAAAACATTATATATACGTCATGGTCGATGAGACCACTGATGCTAGAGGACTTTATATTTGTAACCTTTTGGTTGGAATTCTTCACCAAGAAATTGATCCCACACCATTTTTAATTGCCTGTAAGCAGTGGCGCAATTAGAAAACATTTCGAGGGGGGGGGGGGGTTAAAATGTTACATTACCACAATTTACATACTCGTATAAGCTAAAATCCTGCCTGGTTAATAATATTACATAATTAATGTTAATATGTATATACACTGTATAAATTTCTCAATTAGTATTGTCATATATATAATATTGTTATAAATCACAAGAAATAAAACAATAAACGTCGTATTTATAAAAAAAACAAACAAAAAACACTTTCAGATTAATATTGAGTCTTCGTTTTGAAGTTTTAGCCATTTCATCAATTATCATCAATGGATCAACATAAATATCCTAGTGTTTATTGAGGAATGCCAATCTGTTTAGTCTCATTTGACCAGTAGTATTTCTCAGATAATTTTTCAGTCGACGCAAAGAAGAAAAATACCTCTCTCCAGTAGCTGTTGTGACTGGTAGTGTAATTAATATTTGCAATAACTTTGAGGTTACAGGAAAAAAATCAGGATTACAATGGAAAAATACTTCGGTTATTGTTAACGACGAATTTGGTGATTTGAATGCACAACTGTTATACCACAGTTTAAGTTCACCATAACCTACTTCTAGGCTAGTCAAATTGTTGCTGTTACTTAATATATCAGTATAAAAATTGTAAATCATTTTGAAGTCCTCAAAAGTTTCTTCAGATATTTGTTTGTTAGTCTTAGGTAATAAGCAATTAAAACTTTTTAGTTTGGCCCTATGTTCAAGAAATCGTCCATGGAGTTGTTCAATAAAGTTATCAAAAAATGAGATGAATGTTGAGACTCTATAATATTCTGTTGGATTATTATTCATAACATTACTCCTACTTTTTGTCGACTTGTTGTTCTTGGAACACTAACAGTTATACCAAAACTAGTTCAGACAAACATTTTTAAATATATTATCAAACTCAACATTAGCATTATCGCAGATTTGTTTTATAGTTAATTGAGTCATATCAGCAAATTCTAGGGCAGATTCTAAATCTAAGTTTTCAGTTTGAAGAAATTTGCTCAAAGGAGCAGTTATTGCAAATACTTTTACTAATATTAATAATGCTACTTGAAATCTTAATGATAGATGGAGGAACTAAGTTAGTTAGCTAAAACAGAAGTCTCAGTATCTTTCCAAGTAGATATTTCATTAAGTGCATCCAGAACTCCAGGCTGAAGTTCATGAAACACAAGTACACCGTCATGGCGCTCAACCTACCTTGTAGGACAAAATTTTTTTAGTTTTTTCAATTTTGATTCATGTAATTCATTTTGAATTGATATTTTAAGCATATTTTGTCTTTTAGGATAGCCAAAAAAGTTACATATAGATTGCATTTTGCCTATACAGTTTCGAATATCATTTACATTACAACTAAATGAAATAGCCAAGTTTAGGCTATGTGCTCCACAGTGGATATATAAAGCCATCGGATATTTATCATTGATATGTTTTTGTGTGCTATTAAATTTCCTGGACATAGCCGCCGCTCCATCGTAGCCTTGTCCAATTAAATAATTCAATTCGAGTCCCATGATTTCAAGATTTTGAAGTATTGTTTGTTCTAATGCTTTGCCTCTTACATTAGTAACTTCCACAAATTGTAAAAAATCTTCTCTTATTTTTTTTTTGTTCTAAATGAGCATAACGGACACAGATGGTAAGCTGTTCTTTATTGGAGATGTCACTGGTCATGATGGGTGGTGGTGCCAATTACGTCAGGCATACCGAAGAGAGGAAGTACTGTGGTGATGGCTCACCACAGTAATAACTAATAGTCTAATTTTAATAAGTTCTAAGAAAACATTTTGAATTGAGATCACTGTTGTATTATATAGGTTATTATACTAGGCCTCGGAGAAATTTTTTTTTTGGGGGGGGGTTAATCTAACCCTTAACCCCCCCCCTGGTTGTGCCACTGCCTGTAAGGTTCTCCCTAAAACAAATTATGACACTGTCTCTAGATTTATTAACGACAGTCTGATGGATTTTTTTTTACAAAATTCAGATAATCAATATAATGTGCTTCTCCTTGTAATAGACGCGGCACCTTATATGATAAAAACTGGACAAGCTTTGAAAACATTCTACCCAAACATGATCCATGTAACCTGTGTAGCCCACGGGTTAAACAGAGTATTAGAAAAAGTTAACAAGCTGGTAAATAATGGGAAAAAAATATTGCTTAAATCACCGCACCGAGTAGAGATATATAAAAATATTATGGAAAGTGAACTACCACCGGAGCCTGTGATCACAAGACGGGGAACATGGTTGAAAGCAGCTTTATTTTATGCTGAAAATTTTAATAAATTTAAAATGTTTATTAATGCATTGGATGAAGATGTACAGACTATCGAAAAATTGAAGAGAATCATAACTTCGGCATCAATAATTTCTGATTTGACTTTCATAAAATTACATTTGTCAGCTTTTCCCAAGGTATTAACCCAATTAGAAACCCGAAATTCATCCCTCAATAAACAAATTGAAATATTTGAAACTATAGTAGAAAGTCTTAAAAAAATAAATAACGAGAAAGGACAAATTATGGCTTACAAATTTAACTCTGTTGTGGAAAAAAACACAGGTTACGCTCTCATAAAAAATACAACGACTGCATATGATACAATGGTACGAAAAATATAAATGTTGAACAACAGCTTGCAATTGTCGCTTGCTACAAAATGAGTCCTACCACTTCTGTTGAAGTAGAACGAACATTTTTCAAATTAAAAAACATATTGAGTGATAGAAGGCACAATTTTTCTGCAAAAAATTTTGAAATATATAACATTGTAAATTTTAACTCAATAAAAAAATTAATTTTTTTATGTATTTATAATAGTTAAAATTAAAATGAAATAGCTTAACTCTGTTGGTATGATTTTTTTTTATATATAAATATATTTATATCAATCTTTTACTCTTAATTATTAATTACTCATTAGTTTTTTGCTAATCCTATAATAGTGTAAAAAACTGGATAAATAAAGTATAATTTAAGGGTTTAAATCAATGTACTTTGAATGTTTACAAAATGTTGGTAAGTATTAAGCGATTTTAAGCAAAAAATACATTTTTGCACGATTTAGGCACTTAACTGCATGTTTTTGCAATTTTTAAATTATTAACTGCACATTTTTTTGATTTTTACTGCATGAAAATCCGGTCTCTAGTTATAACCATTTCTGCACAAACCGTTGATAATTCTAAACCTTATATTTATTTATGACGAATGAAGAATGTTCTTTTGATAATCATGTATTCGTGTATCCTCTCATGTTATATAATATTATTGGTTAATGATTTTCGTTGAAATAATCTGCATCTATTACACTTAAAAAATTTCCACAATTATTACATTTTTTGTGATTGATTTATTTAGTTATTGTCAGCTTCAGTTGATATTGATTATTAAATCTTAGCATTAGAATTAAATAGTAATATCTAATTTTGATCCATGTCGGCATTTACGGCAGTATACATGTCAAACCATCAAATTAAAAATAATAAATTTTAATCTTCAAACGATACTTATTTACTATAACTTTATTAATAAATAAATAAATAAATGATAATTAAGATTTTTGTAATTATTTTTTAATTTAATTTCGTAATAATATATTATGCTTGATTTTGTTATTTGTTTATCATTTCGTTCGATGGTTTGAAGTCGGAGCATAAATTATATTGATTATCAGAATATCTACAATGGAATATTTACAAACCCTTACCATAAAATAATATTAATTATATACATCGTCAGTCGTCGCGGAAATATTATATTATTTAATTACTAGTTAAATTTTAATAATAATTAAACAAATTGAATCCATGAACCATTTGTACTTAAAAATTTTGGAATTACTTAAACTTTATTACTAAAAACTTTAAATTTAAACACTGATTTTTTTTTTTTTAATAGGGTCATAATATAGTTTGTTGATGTTAATTTTATCGATTTCGAATATATGCGTGGAAAATCTCTTTTTTTGTCATCCAGCGAAAATTTCTTAAAACATTCATTGATGTACAGGTAAGATTTTCATTTGTGGACGGACTGATAGAAAAAAAAAATGGCAAAAATCTTCGGTCGACTGTTGATCAAACGGAACAACATACGATGTTAAAAACCAATAATGAAAATATATAACAGTAATGATAATAATAAAAACGATGGCAGTGACCACGATCGCAGTGCCATTCAAGGTGTTCCGGTTAGACGGTGCGTAATCACCGGATAAATCTTACGTACATCTGCTTACTGGAAACCCATTGCTCGGACGACGGGGACGGCCGGTAGAGCACGCGGAAGGGCGTGTTTGCCAATAATAAGTACAACAAATAAATGGCCGTGGTCGAACTACAACTTAACCCAATACACATCGAAACCGCGATCAGCCAACACTGGCATTGCTCGACGGGTCGGTGCAGAGGACGCATACAAATCCGATACGGTGTTGTCGTTAAAATATTTTTCTAATCGTTCACATATTCTGTACTCCGCGGACGTTACCGGACTGATCGATTATCGCCGCACGCGTCGTGCTGTACCTAGTATTAGCCGGTGATACCGACACGCGGAGTGCATTTCGGACTTTAGATTAGATTTTTGGACGCGCGTTGTACGCTTGCCGGACGTACCCAGTGCACCGATGGCCCGTCGTGTTACGGTACAGCGAGTCCTGGCCGTGTTGGTCTTGACCGCGTCCGTCGTCCTTGCCGCTCAGGTGAATCCTTCGTCGTTCAACCTGACCGCTGCCAAGGCGCCGGAAACAACGACCACGGCTACGACTGCGATTTCGGTTACCGATTACCCAAAGACCTGGGTGGCCAATTTGTTCTACGAGACTCTGGTCAACTTCACCGTTTCCGAGGACGTTGGCAACTCGGCGTGTCGGCAACAAACGCAGATGTACATCAAGCACCTGAGAAATGATTCGTTCTGGGCATTACAGAGTGAGTACACCTGCAACGTTTTGCGCGCGGGCTGCTATAAATACCAATGCGATACCGACGAACGTGTGTTCGTCGGTTCTACTAAAATTAGTGACGACGACGACGCGGGATTCGGTAACACGAGTGTTCTCGTGCTTAGAATTGATCGGTAGGTTCATGTCCCGCGTGTTTGATTTGTACAGGTATATAAACGTGACGAAAGTTCTGCTCAAAATGTAAAAATCTTTATTTTCGAACGTCAAGTGACTTGGCATTTTCACTCGATTAAAATCGATATTAATTGCGCGTTACGTAAGTTGGTAGCGTGTTTGTATTGAAATTTGTTTCACAACACTATATATACAGTAGATTCTTATTGTGTCAAACATAACTATCTTGAATTTTTCGTTATCTCGAACTTCATCGAATTCCCCTTGAAACTACTTAACTACCGTTACCATAACAGCGTTTTGCTCTCGATAACTCGATATAAAAATAATCGTTTTTCGTTATCTCGAGTATACAAATAATATTTTTATTAAGGTAAGAATGGAAAATTGTGTAGTGCATTCAATATAGTCAGTGGTTATAGTCGTTGTCAAAAGTTAGATAATATAGTATTTGTTTGCCGGCCTACGTATTATTATTATACCAATTCAGTTATTCGAATGTTATTTTTGCTATCGAACAAATAAAATGAGTAAACATGTTAATAAAAGTACAACCGACTTTTTTGCTTAAAAAACTTTAAAAATACTAAAAAAATACCACAAAAACTTAATATCAGCGTGTAGACTAAATGTAACGTTGAATATTTACCGTGTAATTGCAGTTATTACAGATCAATGGCGAAGCTAAGATTTTAAAATGGGGGAGGGGACAAATCCAAAATAATAAAAAAAACCCATACCTAATTAACAATTAACAATAACAGTTTATTCTCATATTAAGTTTATCGTGTTTTATTTAATTAATACATTTCAATTTATTAACTTAATTTTGACCAATTTAATAATAAGAAATGTCGATGAGATTTTGAACAAAAAACTTGGATTACATCTTTTTTTGTTGAATTTATCGGATTTGTTGAAAATAAAATTATTATCAAATAAATTTATAAGAATTATAAAAGCGAATTCAACGAATTTTTCAAACGTATAAAATAAACAATTATATAACTGCAATAACGTTGATACGTCTCACTACCCCCTCCCCTTTCCCATGGCTACACCATTGCTACAGATGACATAAATGATATAAAAGATTTAACTAGGAAAAAAAAAAATTAGTAAAATGGTATTATGTATAATAATTTTCTTAAATGTCTTAATATTTGATGTGTCTACTAAAATAGTGATTGTGATTTTGCGCGGTGGTAGTTACGTTTGTAGTCATTCGTAGTTCGTTCGTTTATTGTGAAGTAGAAAAGAAGCGTAAATTATATGTCCTTTCCATTTCGACAAAGTTCGTTTAATATAGTTAGGCAAAAAAGGTGACCGTAAAAATTTGAAATCGCTAATGAATTCAATATTCCACCAACTATATTGTCGTCAATCAACAGAAAGATAACATTTTGAACTTCAACTGTGGAAATATGAAAAAAATAAAAATGACTCCTTATTTGGACATTGATAAATGTTTGTTAAAATTCTTTACTCAGTGTCGAGATAAAAACGTACTAATAAATGGAACAATTTTACTTGAAAAAGCAAACGAATATGCACAATAACTAGGACATACTAATTTTAAAGTTAGTAGTGTTTAGCTTACAAATTGGAAAAAAAGACAAGATGTAGTTTTTCGAAAAATTTGTGGAGAAAAAACTTCGGTAGATACACATTGTTGTTCAATTTGAATTAATTATTTTCCTGACCACGAATAGATAACGAAATTTCATCAGAAACTATCGAATATCCCTACGAGAGTGAAGACGAAACATAATATGAGGAGGAAGTCACTTTTGAAGTTACAACTCAACAAGCTAAACGTGCTTTAAAAACGTAAGGAATTTTATTGAGACTACTACAGGTATGGAAGATAAGGCTTTTTTCTACATTATCTAATTTGGAAGACGTCTTGGCAAACTGAGGTAATGTTAAACAAACTATAATTTTTTTTAAAAACAATTTATTTATTTAGTTATGTATTCAGTAATTTCAATTATTTTAGTATTTTAATCATTCAAATTATATATTTTAAGCATTCGTATAATTTATTATTCATATATTTTATTTTAAAAATGTAAACAAACTGTTTCCTGTTCCCCTTGAAATTCGACACAATGAAACTCTACTGTATAAATAAACAATTATTTACATAACTATTGTTGCATACATTTTAGTTAATTATTTCTTGAGTTATAATATTTAAAATTCAGGGAAAATAAAAAAAAATTAAATACATTTAAATGATTTTCATAGCTCATCTTTGGTACTTATAATTGTAATTATATTGGCATTATATTCAAGCCTAGGTATTAATGAGTTTGCCCCGAAGCAATGTGAAAAACAGTTCCGGGGCCGTCGTCGGTTGATTTAAAAAAAAAAAAAAAAAAAGGTATTAATGAGTTTAATTATTTTATATTATAATTTTTTAACGAGTAGGTATTAACTTATTTCATTACTGATAAATTAAATTAAATTATTAACTTAACTCATTTCCTTACAAATTAACTTGAAATTTAATTTATTTAATTTTGATTTTCAAGACCAGATTTTTGTAAGTACCGCATTCGACAACAAGTTCATGGGATTTAGAAAAATATAAAAATAAAAATGTCGAAGAATTTTTAGATGAGACCATAATATTTATGATGGCATTAACTATTAATAAGGATCCCGCCGGTCTCGAGAAAAATATTCAACCGTCTTAAGACTATCGAGTAAAAATAGCCATGCCACCCATGAATTTCATTATTATGAAAAGTGGCCGTAAATCTATATTACAAAAATAGGTACATATTATCATTGACTAAATAATTCTAATAATAATTGTAATCTATAATTATTAAAATTATTCCATAATCTGTGATATTATTAAATATTATTGAATAAGAGAAGAAATTCAATAGTTGATCAACATTTTGAGATGACTCTTTTATTGAGATTCAATAGATATTTTGTTTAACCTGTCCATTGTATTGTTTTATTTGATTAGATTTTAATAAAAATAAATAATATTATATATTTATTTTAATGTTTTATATCTACTATATACATGTATTATTATATGCAGTGCTTGAATTGGAAAAAATTAAGTAGAGGAGCTCAGTCCAACGATTTGAAAACAGCGATCCACGCGCGCAATTATTTAACATAGACCCGTGGGGGGCTTCGTCCCTCATCCCCCTCCACCAACCTTAAATATATTTTGAATACCACTTTTCAGCTAAACAAATATTTAAATTCCAAATATAATATAGTTTGATAACAATACCAACATCTTATGTTACAATAGAAAATAAAAATAAAATAATAATTAACATAGGTAATTGTAGGGGATCAGGCAGTCTCATGAATCGAATGATATAATCATATATTTGGTTTTGTTTTTATCTATTTTTCCTCTTTAGTGCGGGCCAGGGCCTTAGAAGATAAGTTTAGGGTCGAGGTGAGGGCATTTATTTTTTTCCGAAATGACGATACCATCGATCACCAATATTAATAACAAACTATACAATGTATAAAGTATAATACACCAAAATCACAGGCATTACTATTTATATTTTTCCAGAAATGACAACGTTGCCCCTTATCATAACCACCATATAATCTTTAATTATAAAAATAGTTTTGATATTATAAATTGTAAAATTCATATTCCAATTGTCGTAGATTGAAATTCACATAAAAATTATTTTGGACGTCAATGTGGTGTCCCCCGTTTTGATGAAAAAATATAGTTGGGTACGCAAAAAAAAAAAAAAAATAGTTGAGAAGCTCCCCCCAATTCGAGCACTGATTTATATATCTGTATAATTGTAAAGTCACACTAAAAAAAAAAATGAATGACATGTATAGATACATACAAATATAGACAGGCAATATGAGTTTTGAGATTGGATCGTTTTTACGTTTCAATGACTATTAGTTGAGATTGAGGTTTTAGTTTATAAGGCGGTACCTTTTCGTTACGGTGTGATATGTTGGATATTTTATTTTAAACGTTATCAAATTTGTAGCTGCGCGTGTTGTCCGAAAGTAGATTTCTGGTAGCGTGAAAAACTATTCGTTCTCCGTCCACGCCGATATTGATAAATCGTTTACGATCAAAGTTTGTCAGAACATAACATTTAATTGTACGATTTTTTTTTTCTTTTCAGTGTCCGATTCGTGGAGTCGGTACCCGAACGGCATACTTGTCGGGACCACGCATCAGATGGGCGTGTACGAAGAGTGCGTCCACGTGCACCAGCCCGTCCAGGGGAAGTATTGCCTGCCGTCGGTGGAGCTGCAAACGACAACCGGCGTGGATTACATGATCGGAAAACCCTTAGAGCCGAACAGTTACGATCATGCCTGGCGTGAAATACTCGGAGTGAGTGCACCCGGATATGTAATAGAATTGAACACTGAGGTCAAGCGCATATTGTTTTGAGACAAAATTTGTAAACAAGTTGTACGTGCAACTGTCTTGCGACCTTGACAGCGTGTAGATCAAACGAGAACATCAAAATGAGATAGTTTCAAATGGGTTTCAAATCGACTTTACACGCAACCGCGTTGTTTTCCACGGTCGCAGTATTCGTGCACGTGCATACTCAGTTTGTTGGGCGGTACTGGTTTGCGCACAAATATCAAAAAGACAATTGTTTCCGCACAAAATTACCACTCCTCTGGGAACAGATGAGCCTTAACCCGTACACATGGTTTGCGCACAGTAACCATTTAGACTTTAATAGTTTAATTACCTTGCAAATTAGTATTTGTTTATTAAAAAGTAAATTATTAAAGTACTAACACACATTTTCCTTCCTCCTTAACAGACTTGAAACTGTCAATGAATGTGTTCATAGGCGTGGTTTAATGTAATCATATTCATGTTAATATTTGCTCATTAATAATTGTTAATATTCAATACTTGTTCAAGTTAAAAATTATAATGCAAAGTTAATCATACATACACACATACAAAGTACCAAAAAACTGATATTTTTGTTTGTTACAGTTTTATTTTTAATAAAGTTTATACTTAAATTTTAATTTAATAATTTAATGAGTTAGAAATTCAATATTCAAGTTCCCAACTATTATTTGAAATAAATTAAAAATTATAATACGCGTTTCTTCAAGATTTTTGTTTATATATTTTTATCAAATTTAATAACTTTTGTTTTGTATAACAAATGTAAACATTTTTAATTACGTAGAATACTTGAATCATAAATATTATATGTACAGTTTTTAGATAAAAATTATCAAGCACCCAGGAATGTAGTTAAGTTTGGCATTTGTATACCAGACTCATGCACTGCTTCCGACCTGCAGACTTCGTTACAAAGAGAATTTGACAAGCATTTCTTGCAGCATCAAGTCAAAGCTCAAGTACAAGTCCAATCGACATTGTGCTCAACGGACAAAAATACTTATCCTTATGATACTGGATTCATTGTTACATGGTAGGTCGACTTTTAAAAAATAAAATACAGCAACGAATTTTATAGAAGTTTAAAACCACATCGCTGTTATTGTTTAAATTTTACCTTTCAAAATAAATGTATCATAAAAACGTACCTACCTAGGTAATTACTTTAACCAATATTACATTCCGACTACTTACATTTAAATAATTGCATTCGAGGTTGTTCTAAGTGTATACTACAGTTATAATAGTATTTTGTTGATTTATAATTTAAAAACATTTTATGATTTTTATAAAATGTTTTACAAGTACTTTATGATGGTAAAAATAAAAACAAGTACTTATAAAATTAAAATCATTAGTACCCCGGTAGCTGGGATGCCGTGTTCGTGCATAAATACCGTATTTGCGCCTATACAGAAAACCTTGATTGCGTAAAATTAATAATAATAATAATAATAATAATAATAGTAATAAAATTGAATACTTGTTTGCGTAGAAAATATATAAATTTGGTAACGTCACAGTAAAATTTAAATTTATAATATTAACTTCTACTATTATTGTATTTAACAAACTCAAAAACTGTAAATTTGTAGTACATACAAAGGTTAAAATATTTATTTTTTTATATCATTAATTACAACCATTGATTCGCCTTTATCCTTTTTTTTTCTGATCGTAAATATTCTTGAACTTCAACAATATTTTTTGGAATATTTTTTTGTATGTTTATACAAAGGTAAATTCTATCACTAATTACTCGTAATCTAACGTGTAAAAACATCTTCGTAACTTCAGAACATATAATTTTAATTGGACGATCAGTCTTGTCTTTGGCTCTTTTTTTACACGTATTTCGAATAAGTTGACTTTTTTCATACCATAGTTATGAATTAAACTGCTACTCGCAGTTGAAATTCGATTTTTAATTAGTCTTTCTAAATAGGAATTAATTGTATAACATTACGTTACATTATTATATTTACTTTCGTAGACTTTTTAAATTGAAAACTATCGACAATTAGTAAAATGCTAGAACTGTTACTATGAATTTTTGCAACAATAGTTTTATTTTTGGTCATTTTTTAAAACAATTTTATTTAATCATAAGTACATAATCACGTACAATTACAACTAACTTTGACGTTTGATATAACGACTAGTGATAATATACCTTATCGAGGTAATAAAAATTATCTATAAGACACTAAGTTAGGTATGAATATATGATTATAATAGATATGATAGGTAAAGAAATTACATTTTTTTTTTTTTATTAGAACTTTAAAAATAAAAATAGTTCATTTTGGTCAACTAATTTCATTTTTGGACCACTACGCGTTATTATCAAATACATTGATTAGTAATGTATTACTGGAATATTTAGGGGTTATAATATATTTTATTATAACTGGAGCTTATGGGGACTTAAATTATATTGCGATGTTGTTAAATTTACGTATTATGAGCGCAAATAAATATTATTCAATTTTATTAAGTGCAATCAAAGTTTTTTGAAAAAGACGTAAATACGGTATTTAGGCGTACTATAGTCCACCCCTTATAGCACATACAAAACTTTTGTAAATAATACTTTTAAATCCATTTTTTTACTTATGTTAAAGAGTTTTAAAATAAATTGTAAGTCATTCAAGACAGTATGAACCCGGAATTTTGGTTCATGATATTTTATTTAATAGTATTTACACAGATAGATAGCGCTAGAATATAGTGATAATTTATATTTATTACGGAATAATATGTTCCTGTCAGCTACTGATATTTAAATGAAACCTTAAACTGATATTACATTAAATCTGATATAATTTCAACTATATTCTTGTATGTAACCTTATATTTTGTTTATTAAGCGGGAAAAAATTACAGTTTATGAAGATTAAATTTAAAAAAATTAAATAGATTTGTCAGTATTTTCCTATTCGTATATTCACAAAATAGTTATAGAATTATATTATTAATATAATAACGCTCTTGAAAGTAATTTGTAGAACATAAATGTTATGTTAAGTGTAACATACATTTAAGAGATTAAACACTTATTATATATTATATGCGCTAAAAATCTCTGTGAAAAAAAATGTTTCAAATTACTAATAACAATAACTAATAACTCCACTCCTCAAGATGATTAAAGCGTTAATAACTTAAATACAAGCAAAATACATATATAGGCAAGTCTAATAAGATACAATATTATATCAGTGTTAGTCGATAGAAATTTAGGCTGTGAGTAGCTTTTAGGCTTTTATTTGCCGTATTTAACAAATAAAAAATGTAATATATATGAAAATTGTTGTATAAAATTCGTTTAAAAAAAGGATCTGTAAAATATTAAAAAATAAAAAATACACCGGTTTCATAGGATGCAATTTTTAAACTTATATTGATGTGAAAAATTAATTTTCTGAACTGTTTTATAGTATGCTGCTTGGAATTATATTCTTGTTATGTTTTTTGTCGACGGCGAACCATTTTGTAAATTTAGTAAGGAGTAATAATGGGAAGAAAACTAGTAAGTAAAAACCTTTTTATTAGTTTTTAGAATAAATTTATAGTTTTTAAGTGATTTTCGTATTCAATATAATCATAAGTTTAAAATGTGCAATAAAAAAACAAATAATAATAATAATCATAAAATTAGATAAGACTATTTAATTATACAAGGTACATCATAAAATTGTTCAAAACATACGAGTATAGGCACAGTAATAAATCAATATTATGTTCTATCACTATATTATTGTTCGTGGTTCTTTTTTTATCAAACGTTGACTTTAATCAAATATTCAAACGTTTTCGCTAGGAAATAGTAAACGTATAATGAGAATAAAAATAACACATTACAATTTGCCATCGATCACTCGATCATACTTTCATAGTATAGATTTTATTGATAATTCCACAGTATTTTTTCTTAAGATAATAATTTTTATTATGTTGATATATTTTCTGATACACTGTTAACCAGAAGGTTCATTATTGTTATTTTTTTGCAGTCAAAATACCAGAAATTTTAAACTTGTTTTCCATAATTCGTAATACCAGAGATTTGATCAAGTACGATAAAGACAACGAGCTGAACATCTTTAATGGACTAAAAGTGATAACAATGATCTTAGTGGTGTTTGGTCATAAGTTCTTCTACTTTGTGATCAATCCGATCATGTGGGCAAAACGTTTAGAGATGGTAACTTAAGTTTAAAATAAACAATCAATAACGAGTGCCATTTTATGCATCTGATATTGTTGCACTCGATTTCAGCTTGTGAGACTTATTTGCAAACGTTGTGTTTTTTTCTTTGTCGTTACAGATCTACGTAATCGGACCAAATTTCTTATTGACGTGCATGAATTTAGTCGATCCGTTTTTTTTTATAGCCGGTTACCTGATGTATGTTTTGTTGGTCCCGCAGTTAAATAAACCCAGTACCAATTGGACTCAGGTGCCAATGATAATCGTGTACAAATACTTGAGGTACATATACATATAATATACCCTGTAATTATGTACGTGATATGAGATGCGTTGAATGAATTGGAAAAATTAACGGTCGGGTCACACATACAAATTAAAACTTGTGTATCTAAGATATCTACGAACCGGAAATGGTTTTAAATATATTTATGGCCTATTTTTTCTTACGCTTAGTTTATTATTATTTTAATCGGGTTTTAAGGGTACTACCATCGTACGTGATGATGATGCTGTTAACAGCTTTCATCGTACCTCATATGGGTGACGGACCATTTTGGGCTTCGAGGATGTGGTCTGAGGCAGACAAGTGTAAAACCTATTGGTGGGCCAATCTATTGGCAGTAAGCAACTTCATCGAAGTCAATAATCAAGTAACGTCAACACTTTTTTTTTAATAAAATACAAATACAATTTTCTATTAAATGTGTTATTATAGCTTATTATTATTATTATTATTTCGTATCTACTAAACTTTCTAACTTAACTATAGATTTCATTTCGTCTAACCGAAAACACACGAAGTTAATAATATTATAAAATATAAAATATGGAAACGACATTTATTATATGTAAATGTGGAATTTGTAAAATTTTAATACAAAAAAGAGAAAAGATGCAAGAAAGTCTTGTTAGAATTTAGCTGATTCTTAAATAATAATTAGATTTAAGTATCAACAATCGCTATGTCATTTAACATTTAATTATAAGCAGTAGCGTATTTTCGAGAGGGGAGGTTTCCGGCTCTCGACCCCCCCTAGACGAAAAAAGGTTCAATAGTCATAAATTACATCATGCGAGAGAAAAGTAAAATTCATTTATGTCTCGAGGTTGTAAGTAATTCTTCATTTGTATTTATAATAATAATATGAAATATAATTATGAATTTATACCTTATATGTATTTTTAGAATATTATAAAATCACTTAATTTTTAGAAATATTTTAACCCCTCCTCCCTCTACACAAAAAATTTGATTAGGCATCATTGATTATTTCTTCTTCTTCTTCTTCTTTTTCTTCTTCTTCTCCTTCTGCTTCGCCTCTCTCCCAACTAATTTGAGTCAATCACCTTTGTCCGAAACTTCCACTCTTCTCGATTTTTTATACCCTCTACGCACACACCAACAGCCTTTATAAAATTCTCAATCGTATCCAACCATCTCATTTTGGTCTTTTTCTTTCTCTTTGCCCTTCCACGTTCATTTTTATAATCACTCTTACTGAAGTACCAGTTATACGAGTATAATCATCCACATATAATTGTACGTAGTTACCAACAATTTCATTACAAATTATTATGTAATTAATAGCTGATACCAATATTAATCATTTATATATAATGTACGTTTGTGTAGAATCATGATTTTTACTATTTTTATTTCCATGAATATATGTATCATAATTTCGAGATTATTTTTAAATCTTAAAAAAAATTAATATTATTGCATGACTAATTCAAAAACTTAAAATTAGCATATTACAAAAGAACCTTCAGAGCTTAGGGATGAACAAAATACATCGATTTTTTAAAAACATTGATGTTTTCATTTCATATATCGAAACCCTACTCGAAGTTTTTATTGCGATGTATTGAAAAAAAAATCGATTTTTTTTCTAATCCAATACTTAAATAACTTATTTATTTAAACATTTTTAAATTTTTCTTAAAACTTATTAAGGTAAACATCGATATTTTTAAATATTTTTGTCGAAAATATCGATCACCAACATCGATGTCTAAAATTTAGGTACATAAATACATTGGAACATCAATGTTTCAAACTTTTTGCCCATCTCTATCAAAACTATTAAATAGTAAGTACTGAGACGTAATTCTGTTAGGAGCTCTCAATACTTACATAAAAACATTAATTCACTTATAGGTATCTATAACACACTGAATTAACCGCGGGCAAGCCATATAAATTATTATTTTTCTTTTTAATCAGTCGTTTCGACTAACTCAAAAAATTTAATGTTCCTATAGAATATATCAATAATTTATAAATTAAAACGTCGATGACTGGACAAAAAAATGTTTATCTAAATACTCCTCGTCACTCTATCTGAATAGATCAGCACAATTATTGTATACGATTATTCATGCCATTTTACGAAGATATTACTTGAACGGATTTGGTCTTATCATATATTATCTAATAATCTTATCATAACTACAGGACTATATGAAATATAATTTCTAAAACGTGCATAATAATGTATATATATATTTATTATTTTATCTATTACATAGTATAACAAATAATAAAGAATAATGAAAAATAAGTAAATAAATAATACACTGATACTACAAATTGTAGATTGTAGTGGAATTATTACAAACGTCTGTATTTTAAAACTGATTTTATTTTCGTAATATTTTCAAGTTCACATTGTATTTATTTAATGTATTTTTTTTATATTTTCTTTTAGTGCCTCATTGCCGGATGGTATATATCATGTCTCCTACAGTTACTCGTAATCGGAACCGTTGTAATGTACGTGTACGTTAAAAATCGGAAAATCGGAGTGTATTTAATGGTATTTCTTTTATGTGCATCCATGGTTATTTTACCAATCATGACTTATGTCCACCGAGCTTATGGAATCGTTAGATTATTGTACACGTAAGTTAAATAATATTATTTTACACGTATATTTACCTTAATAATAAGGGACAGAGAGTGGTGCAGTTATATTTTAGTTTAATTACTAGTTCCTGAATGGGAGACTACCTACAAATTTAGCAATAAAACCATTTATTTCGGTAAATATTTTGAATCAAATTGATGACCTTTAATCCCTCACTAATCTAGTCAACAAACCAATATCTAAAAAAAAAAATTAAAAAATAACATTTAATAACATTTTTTAGGAGTTCAAGCTCAATTGCCGTTTATTTTAATACTTATAGTAGTTGCAAGTGCTCGCCATTACACGGTTACACGTGTTCCTTATCCGAAACGGATCCGTATAAATAATGTACTCATAACTAATTACCGGTGTAACCGTGTATGAGGTTCGGAAAGTTCCTAAGCTATCGTTCTTTAAATTAGACAAATAATAGTATCGTAAATGTTATTAGAGATATACCGCTACATATTAACAAATAAATCAGAAACGTATATTGCTGATAATAAATACACGGATAACGGCCAACGGGTATTATTATATTATATTATATTATACAATAAAGTGTACCGGTAAAAAACTTCCGTATGTTAAAAACGCGGATGTTAATTTATTTTCAGCACGTGTACTCAAGTTACGTGTATTATATACGTATACGACCCCAAGTAATTACATTTCGATGATAAAAATATTTATGTTCCTATTGTTTTTGTTACAGGACATTGGAAAACCCCAACAGTTCAGTAGAATTCAATCATTTATACCGGCCATTTTACTATCGGGGCATTCCTTACTACGCAGGATTGCTGGCTGGCGTTATAGTGGAAGAACTGAAAAACCGAAAATTCAAATTTTCTATGGTAATTGCTAGTGTGGACGTGACGTGACAGAACAATACGTTTCGCTAGTAATCCATTTTATGTGTAATGCAATGATTTTTTTTCCTTGTACTTTAGTTCACCCTTTATGGCGGCACCGTGTTCGTCTCCGCAGTTTGTACTTGGGTTCAGCTGTACGGTGCACAGTTCTACGATATCAACAGGCCTTATAACGTGATTGAACAGTCGCTGTACTCGACGATTAGTCACTGCACGTGGACAGTCATATTGTTTTGGGTTACCATATGTAATTTTACAACAGGTTACGGTACGTCATTTAAATCATTCATTTATTTAATTGTATAAAATGTCGTAAAGATTAATTTGCAAAAGTACAGATACATAAGCGGATATTTGGTCACATCCGTGGGGGAGCTTAACATATTTGCCTTATCCATTAGCGTAATCAGACATTTTTAGACACTTCAACCTTACTAACTAGTGGCTATTAAGGATGGGTTAAGTGGTTTGAACAGCGATATTCGATGTATCGATACATCGATTTTTTAAATATCTATGTGTTCAATGTATCGGTAAAAATCCATCGATGTTTAAGAACATCGAAATTTAAAAAAAATCGAAAACATTTTTTTTCCCTCTAGAGCTGCAATCTGTTATACACTTTATTATCCGTACAGTGTACTATTTCCTCGATTAAATAATAAATTTAAGAGTTAAAATACTATTGTTTAACTTATATTTTTTAAAAACATATTAAATACCAATAATCAAGTCTCGTAATTTCATGTATTTGCTTGTTTTCTTTGCTACATTGGAAAATATGCTAATTGAGATAAAAATCCGTTTCATAACAATAGTAATAAAAATCTAAAGTTTAATAGAGCATGTTTTTGTATGTTATGTGTGTATTGGCATATTTGGCATAGAGTTGATTTTTTTTTTAAGTTATTAGTGCATATTACTTGATGTAAATTCAGCAAAATCGTTTTTTGTGGAAGTAAAAAAAAAATAAGATCAATAAATGTTTGAATTCATTCTTATTTACTTTTCTGAACTTGTTTCTAAAATCTTAGTATTTTATCAATATTTTTATTTTTTAATGACATTAAATTTTATAAGTTAAAAGCAGTACCACGAAAACAATGTTATTGCACACCACTGCCACTCTCCTCTTATTGACGTGTCCATTGCAAACTATTTTCGTCACAACGTGTGTTCATTAATTATAATTTTAGTAAAATGTAACCGAAGAAAAAATATAACTTTTAAAAATATAAATGGATTAAAAAATCCTTAACCGTTTTTTTTCGTGTATAGTTAAAGATTTTTAATGCATATTTGATTAAATGTTAGAGCATTATTGCATGTTTATTTATGCGTTTTTTAGTGCATGAACTTACAAGTCCTGATTATTAAAAAAATCGAACTTTTCAAACATAAACATCGATGTTTAATCGATTAATCAAAAATAAATCATCGATTTTGAAACATCGATATATCAACCCAAAACATCTATGTTTTTTGCCCATCCCTAGTGGTTACACCTAGTAGATTCTAGTCAAGGTACCAAATATATACAGGTAATAGGAACATAAAAATATAAAATATTCAATAGCTACTAATTTTTTTTTTTTTTTTTTTTTTTTTTTTTAATTGTATAAATCTATTCCTTTATTTCCTTTATTACTTACAAAATATAGTTTTCCCAAATAACGATAGTTCGTAAATATTCCAGATCATTCTCGCATACCAACAAAATAAAATAAAAATGATAAAAATCAATATTAAAATATACAATTTATTTTGACGTCTGATGTGGTTTGATGACGTTCAAAGGGGGCTTATGCCCCCAAGTCTCCTCCAATATCCGTCTATGTACAGATATGTACCTAGATATAACAGTAATAATATCAGTGAAAAAATCTATTGAACTTTTGAATACTATAGGTTATACATAGTATAACGATTTGTTCGATTCAATGTTGAAGTTCTTACTCTCACTATCATGGGTTATTTTATCCATTGGGAATTGATCGAAAACTCAAAGTTTGATAGCAGAGTGAAATATTTATTTAGGCTCTGATTATACAACATTTTTATGAAGACAGAGGGTGTTGAAAATAAAATTATAAAGTCAACCGTCGATTCCTGTCCGACGTCTGCTTCGCGTTCAAAATGTTATGATGTTGAATATAAATGTTTATTTAATTGTCTTCGTTTTAAAATAAATTCATTATGTTCATTTTAATACAGGTCCTTTAGAAAAACTGTTGAATAACAGACTAGTAGTGCCGTTGGGTAGATTATGTTACGTAGTTTACCTTGTCAATTTAACGGTCATGCTGATGGTGGAAAGTAGACAAAAAGTAGCTGTATCCCCTTCAATCGATTTCTTGGTAAGTAAATGTGTTTGATAGCCACGATTTTTATACTACGTTAACAGTTTGAAATTTAAACCGACGGGATATTTGACAGATAGCGTATTAAAATATATTTCCGCTATTAATAATGTACCTACTTACACCATAATTTAATGTTTATGACAATTCTCGGAGTATAGTTTTTTAGGGTTGTATTTAACAGTGGCTGACTGGGTGGATGTTTTTTCTATTACATATACATATACGTATTAACATTATCACCTTAGATGGGTATCATGTAAAAATATGCATTAATAGAAAAAAATCCTGAAACAGAGATGTTTCTTTTAGATTTTGAATGAAATATATTGGTTTTGCATTATGTGTTTTTTTTTTAAGGGGGGGGTTATGTCTATATACATGATTTCGATCTGAAGGATTGCTTCGATTATCATCGAATAAAAAGTAAAAATAGGGATGAATTCTTGTTTTGTAAGCGTTACAAAATGAAATTATGACGATATTGATTATTTCAATGAATTTTCATTAAACGATATTAGTTAAAGGGTTTTAATAGTTCCGAAATATTTTAAAAAAGTTTGCACTTTTTATATGCTGATCTTTTCATCCGATCTCTTTTACTCAGAATGATTTTATTCGAGAGCAATGGTGCATTAGTTTCAAATTTAAAAAACCAATTCAGCAATATCATTGACCCCTCACTGTATGAACCCCAACCGTAGAATCTCACCAGGAGTTTATCTCTTTATTAAATATATACGCATTTCTGATAATAATTGTGTTTTTATAAGTTTGTAGGTTTTGTTTGCAAAAAAACATAAAAAAAAAATCGAAATAAGTATAATAATTTGTTTGGCGTAGAGTGTTAGTGTTATCGTATATAATACGAGTGGGTACTATAATGTTGTATTTTGGTGCATATTTTTAGATCGATGGATGGATTTTTGGTTTGTTAAGAACATATTTTGTCGGATTTATGCTATACATATTTGTTGAAGCACCATTTGGACAGTTAATTAAAACACTATTGTACGGAAAGTAAGTATACATTATATTATTTCTAGTATCCAATTGTTTTTCATAATAACAACATAGTCTTTGCGTATAAGCGGACATGCAGTACACTGTGAATTAAACGAAATCTAAATGTTTTTATAGAATTAACAAAAATAACGAACGGCCGGTAACTACAGAAAATCCAGAAAACTCAAACAACATACAGAAAGTTTCAACGCACCTGTAGAGACGTCTGTTTTACGACTGAGCCGTTTTGAGGACGATTTGTATATTTCTATTGCCATGTAATATTTATTTGCGTGAAACATGCATTATGATTCATTGTAAAATGTGGATGAAAAGCATTTGAATCGAATGATATGTATCATATGTATTACTATTATTATTATAACTTTATAGACATTCATGCAAGTATGGTAATGATTGTTCTGAGATCTTTATTCGATAATTATTGCATTATCATTTGTCTATCCCATGAAAATAATCCGCTTTTTTCCGACCGCTCAAGTTTGTTTATAACATTTCAAAACACATAAGCAAAAACAAAACAATTTATCTTGAAATCGGAGCACCATCGCGTAGCCAGTTTTCTAATAATCCACAATCGTTATATTGGATTGCGTGGGATTTATATGCCCGTAAAAATGGTAATAATTGTGTTATTAATCTTCATATGACCCGTTCACAATGTTCATGTATTGGGCTCAGAAATTATGGACCCAAAAATAGTTTGCGATATTATCGGATAGTGCAACTGTTATGTATTATTTTATGTTATATCATATTATATATGAACATAATCCATAGATAATGAAGTAATACATAATATAAAATTTTATTTATTATTAAAATACCATTTTTTAACTATACAATTGTTTACTATTACTTGTATATTATGTATATTTTTTCATATGTTTTTATATATCAATACTATTATATTATAAAAATATTAAAAAATCATAAATTAGTTGATTTAAGTATATAGATAATATAATATTATAATAAAATAATAATTGCTACCATTGCTTAAAATAAAAATTAAATCTTATTGAAGCAAGCAATTTTAACATTTCTTTTATTTATTTTATGACCAACAAAACTGACATGGGTCTTAAAAAATATAAGGTAAAAAAAGCGAATCATGAATCAAAAAGATTGAAGAACACTACCATAGGGTATACTACATATACTACATATAACGCCGTATACTCTCAAGATATTTTTGCAAAATTATGGGTACCTGCGTATGCTCTCAAACCATAACAAAGAAAATAACTTTGGTTACTCAGATAATGCCTAGAAAGTAAATTTAGTTTATTTTTTTAATTACATTTACATCCCCATGATTAGGTAAATAAAAAACTATTTATGATATCGATGGTCAAAATGTATACACTATTAACTATAATAATCAGGGGCGGACCAGTATTGGGAAAATCGTAATCTGATTAAAGATTAAATATTATGATTACAATTTGTAATAATTAATCATAAGATAAATTAATGTATAACCACAATATCAAATTATTTTAAATGATTAAAATAATAATGTTATAATAGTATTGATTACGATTAGAAAATATATTAATTTGTAATCGTGACTAATCATAACGATTAATATACTTCAATAATGGTTTTAATCAGTGACAATTACTTTTAATTTATTTAAAAATATAATGTTCTTCATTTGGGCGTCATCATGGTTTTCCGTACAGTATTACTGAATAAAATGAATATATTTTTAAGTATCTGATACTTTGAGCTTTTCAGACTCTCGCTGGCTATAAAAACTAATTGTTCAATAAGTTTTTACTAATAATGTATCTGACTGAATAGTGTTCCGGACATGATAAAATTAGTATTTATATATATTTTATTGTACTTGATTTGCTGCTTTCAAAAATGCAAAGCAAATGTGTATATAATGTGTATGTGTAGGGGCTGTAGTACTTATATTTATTATTATTTGTAAGGATTTTAGGTTTTGTACTTAAAAATATAACCACCTTTCGATTAGTACACATGCTTTACAATTTTTTATACATAATTCTTTTACAAATTGAATAAACGAAAAATGTGGTTACTTGAAAATGTAGATTTTAAAAAGATCATAGGAAACGGCCAAAAATTATGAATAAATGTAAAAAAAATACCTTGTTCAACCAGCTGTTGCTTATTTTTTGAGCACGTTTCCTTTATCGAACAAAATTATATATTAATGATTTAAAATTAAAGATGCCTTTAGTGAACCTCCGATTCTAGTATCTCATTTTAAATTCTGTGCGAAACAAGAAATGTATTAGATCTACCATGAGCAGTGGCGTAGCTAGAGAGGGAGGTAAATGAGTTATAATCCGCTTCCCACGCCCAAAATGTGTCTTTTATTTTGTAATATTACGTAATTTGAGTTAAACTACGCTCAGTTAAACTGACCAATTGGCGACTATAGTGCAAAGTGACCAAAGCAGTGGCGCAAAATTATTATTGGCCTCAAAACACCTCTTGTGCATCACACACTTGCTCGCTGTCAAACATAGACATTTCAAGTTTTGTTTAGAATACAATATTTTGTTTAACCACCGCAAGTACACCAAAATTAGAGAATTTGACGATAAAGTTATATTTTATAGAAATCTTTTTTTTTTTTTTGTATTACATTTTATTTCTAGTCATACGAGTACATGTCTACGTTACCAATGCATTTAACTATTTTACGGGTTTTAAACAGACATCTCTAATTGAACAGCGAAAATTTCTTCATTGTGTATGTTAGCTCCTTTACTTGCAGTTGGCTGGTCACAACGCAGAAACGATTTACCTCCATATTGTACATAGTATTATAATTTATTCATTACAAAAAATTAAATACATAAACAATTAGATATACTCTAGATATATCTAATATTAATATATTTAACAATAAATTCGTAATATGGAATATAAAACATATCACAGATTGCCGTCAAAAATACAGGATTAATTCTACTATCGAGGTATCAACAACTATCTCTAAGGGTAACGGTAAAAGTTAGTTGATTTTTTGAGAGTGCCTATGACAACTACTGAGTAATATTATTTTTATAAAACACCGAAATCACACGACTTGGATCCTTTTCCTCTCGGACTGAATATCATTTTGAAATTGCCGTATTATTTAAATTGGCCAGCATAAACTACACACATGAATTTTAAATCGTTAACAGTGTGCTACACAGTACTTATAATGAAAATTTGGATAACGTAAAATATTGAGCGTCTGTTGCCATGCACCTACTACACTCTGTAGGAGGATCTGATTTGTATACAATAAACGGAGTGCAGATGAAATACTCAACTAACAACTCGGCTACATAGTTGCAGTATAACACTTTCTACATATGCGGAAGAAGTCACGTACGTTTTTCCGATTAAATACTTATGTCCGTACGTTTCGTATCTGTAGAATATGTAGGCATCTGCTTTTAGCCGTCTTCGTGGCCTTTTCATTTTTATTTTGCAGTCATGTTATTTAATATTTGATTATATCTCTTTTCTAGCGCTTTGGTTTTCCTTTTGTTTTGGTAACATAAGAGTTATTACTTTCATGTTTAGTGTCTATATTATTATAATTATTAAAACATTAAATATTATTATCAATATAAATTATTATTATTTTATAATTTAATTTTGTATTGTGCTACATGAAAATATATTAAAAACAGAAATGGAATTATTTTACACAATAGTGGATTGGCTAAAAATTTCGCACCAGGAAACTACCGTATAACTGGCTCACCATCCAATAATAATAATTTTCCATTAAAGTCTTCTTTATTCATGGATTAAATTCTCGTAGAATTGTTTATATCACGCTTATACTAGGTTTACTCTTATATCACAATCTTACAATTAAATACAATATACTTAAATACATTATTTATATAAAATACATTTTAATCCGAGTACATAGGCTCAATGTTATAATTCGACTACTGGCCCACCGGGAACTTTCCCGATATCTCGGTGGGCCAATCCGCCGCTGATTATACATCCATCGTGGTATTGTTATCAAAACTGATGACGTGTTAAAATAACTTGCTAAGCATTCAAGAAGATTAAATATTCATTTTTAAATACAAGTTACTTTAATGCATAATATGCATATTATGTTTGTATATATATTTAAAGATTGTGTTAATTCAGTTTAAATAAATTAATTATTAACGTATTTTATATTTTAACTTACCTTAATCGACTTATTGAAATTAAAACTTCGTACTTATGTAGGAAAGAATTGAAAATCCCTCTAGACATATATTTCTGGTCATGTCACTGACCATGTGATTTTTTTTTTTTTTTGTACTTGACCGTGTTACAAAAGGATTGTTTCGATCATCACCAAATAAAAATATAGGCAATGGATTTTTGTCCAAATTGACAGTTCTCAGTTGGTACTTTTGAGAAATTATTTTATCAATAGTTCAACTATAATTACTTTCAATTACTTTTAGAAATATAAATTGTTTTATCCAAAATCTTTCGAAATCGTTTTTCGAGACCAATGGTTCATAGGTTTTAAGTTTATAAGACCTTTAAAGCAATATCATTCATCCATCCCTGTAACTCATCCAAATGTGGAGTTTTGCCCGATTTCAGAATTTTGCATTTTTTTTTTAACTATAAATGTTTCTTTGTGTGGGAACAATGATTTATCGCGAACAAGTGTTTACAGGTGGAATAAAATATTACCATTAGGTAACGTAAATATACAACTTAGAATCTACAAATAAACTTAATTCTACCTTTTTATATCTTATTTAATATGATTGATTAAAAATGTCTTATTTAATATGATATGACTTCAGTAAAATAATTTCGTTGGTGTATGATTAGATGGTTTTCGTTAACCATTCAATGGAATGAATAAAAGTTAATGGAACGTTATAAAATATATATGCTATACAGATGTATGTAATTAAAATATTTAATAACAATGAATTTATGGAATTTATGCTAAGTTTATTTTGCCGGGATGATGTTTTGAATATAATTATATTTAGCAAATTATGTGTTGAATAAATAATAAATTAAAGAAGTAAAGCAAATCTTATAATAATCAAGTCGACTGTAAAATTGTAAATATTATCATAACGGTAGTCATAACGATCATAATGAATTAACTTAATTGGGATGTATAATAAGCTATTGAAAAAAAAATAAATAAACAGTATTACGAGTAGAATTAAAAAGTACCTAGTAAATATGTGAAAAAATTAAGTGTTAGATTATGTATTATTGTTTTAGAATTAAGTTCTTAAATTTCATCTATGGAATAACCGTTGAGCAATTCTACATCGAAGAAAACATATTTTACTTCACATGCAAATGTAAACCACATTAATAATTATTATTTAAATATCTGACGTCCTATGTACTTTATTTTACACCCTTATTATTTTCGACAGTACA